TTTTTAAAAGCAAAGAAAAGGAGAAGATAGGGTTGTAAGCGTGAACAGTGTGGCAAGATTTAGAACTGCTGCTGAGGAAGTGAGAAAGATTTCCCATTCCACAAAAGATCAAAGTGGAATCACAGGTAGCAGCTGTAGGCAGGGCTGCAGACATCAGGGGAACTGGTGACCATCTGAATGGAAAAGGGAGGCATAAAACACCCGAAGCAAATGGGTAGACAAAAGTGGTACATCCATTCAACGGAATACTGCTCAGCCATTCAAAGGAATAGAGTACTGCAAAATCCTATACCACGGAGGAGCCTTGAAAACATTATGCTAAGTGAAAGAAGCCGGTCACAAGAAGTCACATGGTGTGTGGTTCTGCTTATACAAAACGTCCAGAATAGGCAAACTTGTAGAGATACAAAGTAGACTGATGATTGCCAAGGATCGGAGGAGGGAAGTAAGGAGCGGCTGCTTAATGGATAAGCGTTTCTTTTTGTGGAAATAAAAATGTTTTGAACTAGACAGAGGTGGTGGTTGCACAACATTGTGAATGTATGATTAAATGCCACTTATTATACACTGTAAAACGGCTACAACAGTAAATCTTATATGTATTTTGTCACTCACACATGCACGTGTGCATACACACACAACCATCCTGAAGCAGCAAGAAAAGAGTCAGGGAGGGCATCAGGCAGGAAACAATGTGAGAACAGTCAACAGTAATTGTAATAACAATCTTCATAATGTTGGGGTCATCAAGAAAAGATGTTATATCCGCCACCAGACTGACCCATATCAAATTGCAGAACAATAGCAGTTTCATATAGTTCAGTCTAATATATTCTTTTGTTAATTAGGCCATGCATGGCAACTCATGCCTGCAATTCCAGCACTTTGAGAGGCTGAAGCAGAAGAAATACTTGAGTCTAGGCATTTGAGACAATTCTAGGCAACATAGTAAGACCTCCTTTCTACCAAAATTAAAAAATTAGCCGAGCGTGGTAGCACGTACTTATAGTCTCATCTACTTGGAAGGCTGAGGCAGAAGGATTGCCTGAGCCCAGGAGGTTGAGGCTGTGGTGAGCAGTGATTGTACCAGTACTTCAGCCTAGGCAAGACAGTGAGACTCCAACTCAAATAAATAAATAAATAAATAAACAAACAGTTGCTATTTCTAATAAAGTAAAGTAACTACTATCATTATCCACATTTGAGCAAATCTTTGCTCATTATTAGTTCTGTTTCAGAATTTCCTAAATCACCATTTTAAGATGCTAAAAAGAGAGAATGTTCTTACAAAAACCACCATTAGATTATTTCAATAGATAACCTTGCTTCTAAGCCTCTTGGGAACTTGGTTAAGAAACCCTGAAAAGCTGCTACTGTGGCTCACGCCTGTAATCCCAGCACTTTGGGAGGCAGAGGCAAGAGGACTGTTTGAGTCCAGGGATTTGAGACTAGGCTAGGCACCTTGGTGAGACCTTGTCTTTACAATAAATCAAAAAATTAGCCGGGCATAGTGGCACATGCCTGTAATTCCAGCTACTTGGGAGGCTGAGGTGGAAGGATCACCTGAGCCCAGCAGGTCAAGGTTGCGGTGGCTGTGAGCATGACATCATGCTCCAGCCTGGGTGATAAAGTGAGACTCAGACTCAAAAAAACAAAAAAGAAACCCTGACAAAAGATCTATTTAGTTAAGATAAAAATGACAAACAGGAAATGAAACAGTCCTCCTCACGAAGGGAGTTTCTCTAAGGAAGTAAAAATCCTTTGCCAATAATCCCAGTGAAATTTTTTTTAATTGGAAAATATAATTTATTTAGAAAGTAAATTAGAAAGAGAGAGAAAGAGAATAGAGAGGAGAGCCACATGGCCAGACCAGAGTTTAACAAAGCAAAGCAATGGCCCCAGTGTAATTCTTAAGATGAAGAACAGATTCTGGGATGCGTTGAGTTTTCTAAGCAAGATAATCATTTGAAGCAGAAAAAATATACCAGTAGAATTCAGAGTGCATTTTTTTTTTTTTTTTTTTTTTGAGTTGGAGTCTCACTCTGTCGCCCAGACTGGAGTGCAGTGGCCGCTCCTGGCCACCGCAGCCTTGACCTGCTGGGCTCCAGTGATCCTTCCGCCTCAGCCTTCCAAGTAGCCGGAATTACAGGCATGCGCTACCATGCCTGGCTGATTTTTTGATTTATTGTAGAGATGAGGTCTCGCTGCCCAGGCAGGTCTCGAACCTGCGAGCTCAGGTAATCCACTCACCTCAGCCTCCCAAAGGCGCAGGATCACAGGCTGAGCCACCGAGCCCAGCTTAGAGTGCATTTTTATAGCACTGTTTGACTCCACCTATTTCATTTCTAGCTCAGACATTTAAAAAAAAAATCTTAACAACAATAATAACTAGAAATAAGTTTTATTTTCAGTATAGGATAGTAGCAGGAAAAACAGACTTCAGAGTTAGACACAATTTCAAATCTCAGTTCTTCCACTGCCTAACTGTATCCTTGGTAAGTCACTTTACTTTTGAGCCTCTGCTTCCTCATCTACAAAATAATCTTACTATCTCAAAGGTAGGTTTTGTGATGATTCCATGAAACAGTGGTAAAGCAATTACCTCAGTAAATGTTCCGTGAATTACAGTGCTACTAAGTAAAGGAAACAGGAAAGAAATCAGGTCCTTGTCAGTATTTGTTTATCTCATGTCAAGCTAGTCTCTACTTTCTCAATTTTAGAATGAAACATTAAAGGTTTCTGGAGTATTATAATTGAAGTTCTTTGAAAAAAAATAGCACTTCTGCCAAACATTGTATTTTGTAATTCTAACACAGTTGATCAATAGCTGGACTTAACTCTAGAAAGTAACTGAGAATTCATAATTTTACAGAATTCGCCGATTACACAATAAAAGTAACAGAACTGGATGAATTCATCAGTATTCATTATACTAAGGTTGCTTCTAAGTTATTTTAAATGGGTGGTTCTTTCCCCTCTTTTGAAATATATATATATAAAATGGGGAAAATGATCTGTAATCTTTCTTGGTAATCAATATCATTTTTAACAATCTCCATCATCAAAGCCTATCACGTTTTAGTTCACACCCACTTGGTTCTGTCTTCTAAGTTAAACATAGAAAACTATGAATGGCATAAGAATTCATCCCATTCTTTAAAAGGAAGTCATTTTCTTAGCTATTCTTGGAGGCATTATTTTCTAACACCCTACAAAGTGACCGATTTTCATATTTTTAATCACAAAACTTCTTTAGTAAGAAGCTAACTAAAATCTCTAGTGCAAAACAGAACAGAGCTGCTAGGATGGAGAAGAGCCCGGGAAGCTCTGCCCAAGGAAGCATGACATCTCCTGCATGCCTTCTGGTTCTGAGTGACAGAGACAAGAATTGTAATCATCAGTCTAGCTAAGGTCACAACATAATTGTAATTGTAATTGTAATCATCAGTCTAGCTAAGGTCATCTTATGATGAGAGGATGATCTCTATGTGCTCATCCAGTTTATGGAATCTGTTTCTGTCCCAGAGATGTTCAATGAAATGAGTTAAAATGAAAAGGGAACAGACTCAGCACTTAGTCAAAAATCCTTCTTTTCCAAGTCCTTGTGGACACTCTGATGTTGGAGATGCCAAATGTTTTAGATGCTCTAACCTGTGCCACGAAAAAAAAGAGCCTTTTGTGGTCAAAGGGTTTCTATTCTTCGTGACCTCCAATTTCTCACAGACTGACAAGGAGAGCACAGTGACCCTAATTAAGTCAACACACTTTGATTCTTTTCCAGACCCAAATCAGAAGATGACAAATATCTTGACACTACTAGCTGAATGATGCTGAGCAAATTACTATCATCTTTGTGCTTCTGTTTCCTCTTTTACAAATGGGAATAATAACAGTGCCATCTCTTAGAATTGTGGTAGGGATTAAGTGAGGGGATAACTATCATTTATTTGTGTCTGTCACACAGTAAGAGCCAATAAACATTAGCTGCTATCATCAGCAGCAGCAGCAGCATCTTGGACTCTAGAAAGATGTGGCATTTGTTTTATGAAATAAGAAAACTAGAAATTTATAATGAAGATTTTAATGTCTAAAATCAACTCTCCAAAAAGTTCTTTTGTGAATGGGTACTCAAGACAACTACCGCAAGCAATTCCGTCCCAAGTGAGAATTAATGTTTGCAATGTATAGGGAGGAAATGTTTTTTCCTTGGAGTGCAAAGCAAGAATTACTGACTACACAGCAAAAGTCTCTGAAAAATGTTAATTCTAAGCTGCTGCTCTGAGGTCAGATGTGACTAACAATTCAGCACTTTGATTCAACTGTTAAAGAAGAATAAAAAACAGAATATAGTGTTCTTTAAATCAGTTTTGTTCCCATGTTTTATCAACTTCTGTCAGAAAACTCTGTAATGTAAATACAGAAGCAAATAGTCTGTGGTTTGCTCATAGTTCATTCCAGTTGTAACATACACTCTATATTTATCAATGTTCACAAGCACACATTATATACAAAGTTACATTAGGAAATGTTTAAGCATGTTTTTAATTTAAAGAAAAGCAGAGCTCAATTTAAAATCAGCTGCCAGTCCTCACACCAAATTCATATTCTTGGAACCTGTTTTCTTAAAACCAATTTTGATGAAAGAGATAAAAATCTCAAGAGCAAAATAATTTTGGAATCCAAGTAGTAGCAGGGAGAAGATACTATCTCTTTCCATTTAAATATATTGCTCTAAGATCACCTAATAAAGATATTTTTTCTACTTGCTTATAAGTTCCAGTTTGGGGTAGCTTTTTTAAAGGACTTGTCAATTCTCTCTCATCCTAAATTCTACAGCAGCACACTTGAAAACAAGGAGACATATAACACAGATAACTTGAAATTCCACTTGGAATCACCCAACTACACTGAAGAGAACTCTGAGAAGACTCCAAGCACATTGCAAACAGCAGCAGACAGCAACACAGCAGAGCTAAAAATCCCCACCAAAGGACACTGACCTTTTGGTGACTTGTGACTTCGTCTCTGCTTCTCTCCAGTTCCTCAGCAAGTTTAACGTTCTCTTCTTGCAATGCTGAAAGCTGCTGGGACTTCTGAGCTGCTGCCTGCTTTAGGGTTTCTCTGCAAGGACAGTGAGCGCAGAGTTACCATAGAAACAAGACAAGCAGGGAAACTGTGGGAGACAACCAGCTTCACAGCACTGAGGAAAATATATCTGGGTCACGTGCCTGATAGGATCTATAATAACAGGAGACAGTATTATCTACATGGAGGAGAGGCTAACTGGTTTTCACCTCTCGAAAGGAGGAATGCCATCCACAATTACGACATTTTAAAAAACCTAACAAACATTATGTCCACCCTCCTACCTCCCACACTTACCCCATACAAAAAGGAATTTTGCTATAAGATAAATGACAAATGAGATGGTCAGTACAGCTCTTTTATCTTTTAGGAATATTTCCATTACATGGTTATACTAAAACCACTACGTTGATAAAGTGATTTAATTTGCTGCCAAGGCATTCTGTTCTGACCTCACAGATCTATAATTTGTTTTTCTCTGGAAGAAATAAAAATCCAATGGTCCTATTTACCAGTATCTGTCAGAGTCAAGTGCTGATGTAAATCCGAGTATATTTTTAGGACAACTAAAGGCGGAATGCCCAAAGGAAATACAGTTTTCTAATTACATAATAGGTGTTTTATTTTGATGATATTTCTTCCACAATGCTAATTTATAATTAAAGGACATAAATACAAATATAATATATCCCCCTGACCTATATCATGAATAGTAGCACATAAAATATGAACAGCATAAGTATATTAAGCCTTTTCCCATTATTAAAATACAGAATATACATTCTAAATTATTATCCTTTATACACAAATATTCAAAATATTTTATTTGATCACTAAATTTTAGTTTTATGCTCTAGAAGGTTTTATGCAATTATGAAACTTAAGTAAATGTATGTTGGTTAAACTTCATTTAGCAAGCTGTCATACGTGGCTGAATTCTGAATCAAGTCATCTGGATATGAATCCATCTGCTGATACATGAACACAACTATTTTTAACTTCAATCGTCTAATGGGTACCAGTGGCTTGGCATATTCAATTTTCTCAATTTTTTAATTCTCTAGCCACCTATAATATGACCTCATGAAGATTTGTGGAAATAGATCTACACAAAAATTATCTTAGCACAGTAGATTAGGCTTTTTACAGAGATGCTTATTTAGTAAGTGAAGAAAAACTAACAAGGAATTTTAGCCTCAGGTTAACAGTCACTCAAAAGCTGAAAGGCCTGATTTTAATTACAAATATATATGTTTGTGTACATATAAATATATATGTGTGTGTGCACATATATATATATATATATTCATAAACACATACAGAAACACACATCACAGTTAAAGTTCATCTTCTGGTCATCAATCCTTGACAAATCAGGAGATTTTACTTATGATAACATGATCATAAGCCAAACGTTTTATTTCCCAAATTGTCACTGCCTTCAAGAGGGGTTATTTGGTCTCAGGATTTGTGTGGCCTGTCATATTGTTAAGTCTGTGCCCCTGTTCCTTCTCTCTTCAGTCCACGGAAGAAAAATTAAAACAAAGAGTCAAAGAAGTAATCTAAAAATGACCTAATATCCTAAAGTGTTGACCTATTAAAGACAAATATTGAGTGTTTTAAAATTTACAAAATACTTCCATGTACATTTTCTCATTTAATCCTCAAAGTTCAAGGAGGCTCATATTATTATTTCTCTTTTAACATAAGAAGCCTGAAGCTCAGGGAAGAAAAGAGATATGCCTCGAATCCTAAAGCCAGCAAGCAGTAGAACCAACAGAAGTTACGACTGGCAGATGACTTCAGCCAGGATTCAAATATACAGCATTTTTTTTTTAGTGGGTGTTGGACAAATGCATTTCACAGAGAAGAAAGTCTCTAATAGCCCAAATTCTAGAAATACTCAAGGAATGACTCTGAAAAAACTTATAAAAATATTTCTTTTTTTTTTTTTGAGCTAGAGTCTCACTCTGTCACCCAGGTTGGAGTGTAGTGGCACGCTCACAGCAGCTACCGCATCCTCTACCTGCTCGGCTCAGGTGATCCTTCTGTTTCAGCCTTCCAAGTAGCTGGAACTATAGGCGCACACCACTATGCCTGGATACTTTTTTGGTTTATTGTAGAGATGAAGTCTTGCCAAGTTGCCCAGACTAGTCTCAAACTCTAGGACTCAGGCAATCTTCTCACCTCTACCTCCCCAAGTGCCGGGATTATAGGCATGAGCCACTGCACCTAGCAATATTTATAATAATTTTTAAAGAAACTACTCTTCTTTTTACATGACAAGGTATGTTGAAACAGAAAAGACTGTAGTTTTAAAACTAAAGACAAAATAGACATTAATAATATTGACTTATAAATGTTTTACCTATGACTCCATCATAAATCTATTATTATGCTACATGTATTCTAGGTTTATTACTGGGCCAGGTGAGTAATTAAAGAAAAATTAGGAGGCTGGGCTCAGTGGCTCAGCCTGTAATCCAGCACTTTGGGAGGTCGAAGCAACTGGATTGCCTGAGCCCACGGGTTCAAGACCAGTTTGGACAACTTGGTGAGACCTCATCTCTATAATAAATCAAAAATTAGCTGGGCGTGGTAGCACGCACCTGTAGTTCCGGCTACTTGGAAG